CTAACCTTACTCCACAATGGTAAGTTGGACCTCAGGTAAGTTGAAGTTGACGACCCCCTAACCACGATTTCAATTTTTAGGGAAATTCAAGAAACCTGCAATTTGATAATTGGGTTTTTCCGCAATAAGTTAAACGATAATACAGATTAGGAAAATCTACAGATATAAATCAACAACACTTCTAAATACACAGGAAACCTGCAATTTGATAATCGGGTTTTTCCGCAATAAGTTAAACGATAATAACTGCAGTTTGATAATCAGGTTTTTCGGCAATAAGTTAAATGATAATACAGATGAAATCTGCAGATATAGATCGACAACACTTCTAAATACAGTAAAATAAAAATGCATTTAGCACTTATTAAAGTATATTCCACTGCGTGTCCTAATTCCCCACCCATAAATGCCTATAACCACCGTATTCGTAGGAAAACATGCGGAAAGTAGGGATTAATGAGTGGGCCTACATAAGCTACTGCTGCCTTATTTGCCATTGGCAATTTCATGATAAAAGGCTAGAATTTTAATAAATGAGACACTCGAAGAGTCTTTGCATAACCTACAGTGTATACCAAGATGAAAGGTCTCATATAAATCAATGAGCTACCTGCCTCGCACTGCGTTTACCCCTGGGCCTGGGAATGCTTGAGTTGTTAATTTCTGGTCTGTTTTCCCCAGCAAGATAATGTCTGTTTGTTTACCGGGGGGAGGGGGGGATATTACAGGGCTGGTAGTGGGGCTGCAGTGAAAACGCATGCACTTCGCCTCTTCGCACGCCGCCCTCATTGCCTTGCACTCTGCCTTTCAGATGGTCAGCAGCGAAGCCATCCACCTGAGGATTTACAGTCCGCGAGTGCTGAATCTGACCCTCGTTGACCTGCCAGGCATAACAAAGGTGCCTGTTGGCGATCAGCCCGAGGACATTGAGTCGCAGATCAATTCCCTCTGCCTTCAGTATGTCAGCAACCCAAATTGCATTATCCTCGCAGTCACCCCGGCCAATATCGATATGGCGACAAGTGAATCCCTTAAGCTCGCCAAACAGGTGGATCCCGAAGGTATTTTTTTTACTTCCGCTTGTACCTAGTCTTCTATGCTTTAATAATTAGAACATGTCTAGCTCTGGTGTTTTTTGGGATGAGTGCACAGTAACACGCACCCGAAAGCCTTCGCTTTTCTTTCGCGCGCCGCAGTTTAACCGTTGGTTTCAACTAAG